GGGGGGGGCGGCTTGTTTTACAACGTCGTTGCCAAGCGACGAAAGCCCAACTTCGGTGGCAAACACCAGGGGGAGGGGGGGGTAGGGAGGGATCGAATCGGGAAGGGGGGCCCTCATGAACGTTCACCGTCACCGTAGCCGTGGGGTCATCGTCGCGCCTTCCGCATACCCCCCCTTAAAATCGCACATACGGATGCGTTTCTCGCCAAAGAAATGAAAGAAATGGATATCCGCGAGGCAGCAGATCGGCTTTGCCGAAGGGTGGATTTCGTACCGGATGGAAGGCTTTCGTCACAGCTATTTCATCGCCATCGCGGTAAATGCAGCATTCACCCGTTACGTTTGTGTGGCATATATCATCAACCGTGCTCGGATCGTGGTTAGTGCCGCGTTTGAACATCGTGCACCCATTGAGGCGGCGGGTGTGAAAATGGCCATGCACCGGCGCGCGCAACTCAGTCATGCGCCTCAAAACACAACCCCATATGAGATGCGCGAAATACCACAGTACCACGAACGATTGGACCATGTGGCGCTAATTGAGTGCGTGCACGCTCTTAAGTGGTACATACCCGGCTAACCAGGTGTATCGAGGGTGCTTCCAAGCCAAGGTTCAAGGTGTGTCCGTGACTGACAGTTGTTCTTCGCCACCCTGCCGTGTGGCCGTTTGCAAATACTACGGCGGAGTTTTTTGTGCCAACCCCCCCCCCGCACCCCATGGTCGTGAAGCCTGAAGAACTTCCCTAACAAAAAGAAAGCTTTGTAAAGGGAAAGCATGTAGGAGCCCCCATTAGCCCAAGGTTGCCGGACTTTCATCAGCCACCGTCACAGAACCGAAGCCAACGTCTACTGCAGTGCTTTTCGACAATGGCGAAACATGGCATTTATATACCCTCGCCAATACCTAGCAGAACTCTTCAACACCGGATGGCAAAGCATGACTGTCGCTTCTACACCAAGAACATCCTCATTCTGCTCATGTATCACACGGACGACAGACAAGTAAGCTGCAGACACACACACACACATATATGGCGCGTGCGGAGAACAGTAAAAAAATGTAAATCCCATCGCGCTGCTCGCGAAAATTGTGCGCGTCGGGGACGCAGCCTCGCTTCACGCTCCTCCAAAATTACCGGCGTCGCAGGCGTGACTTTCTTCTGCAACATGCGAACAGCACCAGACAATTAAAAAATATCACACTGTATACTTAGGAAGGAAACGGGAGAGCATAATATGCCCCCACCCGCTGTGAAGGCCTAAACTGCTATATCGAACTGGCTAGCCCTCCGTTTAACTAGCCGTGAAGCTAAAGCTGCAGGGAGAACAATAATATTAGTCTACAAGAGAGGTGCCCACACCCAAAACGGTTTCCGAGATGAAAACCACCACAAACAATGCGTAAATTGACAGAGCAAAGAGATACACCACGAGCAGACGAGACGCGGGGCGCCGCGGCGGCACCATCCGGACACTCCCACGCACGCAAAAACGCACGCCACGGAGGCCCCTGTGCGAACCCCGCCGTCGTCTACAAAACACGCCAACTCGAGTACGTACCCAATAGAGATTATATAATACATGCGGACCAATGAGAATAAATGAAATCGACAAGAGTACCAAGCAGAGGAACATGGCACCAGAGGCAAAATAACGCGTGAACCCTTTACAGATCTCACCAGACACTCGACGCGTACCCCCACCATTACCAATCTGCCGACAAATACTGTAGCTGCTAAGCTTCCGACGACCCGTGCCCTCTCCAGACAAGGTATTTAACCAGCAGCAGATGGTGTGTGCGTTTATCCGCCACAACCTTCATCTGGAACAAAAAGCATTCCGTCCACTTTGCTGGGAATATATTTCTAAGTACCGTAATGCCGAGAAAAGTCGAATACCGGCAACAACCCTCCAAGTGGGTTTGAGGGCCGGCTACATCAAAAGACGTGTCCATTTCCGTCAGTACCACAAAGCCACAGACAAGGCGGACGGCAAGAAACTCGCAGAGAAAGCCTGAGAACAATAATCAGGGAGCGGGGATAGTCTTCTACGCTAGTCGAAGTACCATGTAATTACAAACAAGACATAAACAAACGGAACATGGTTGACTGACGGTCTCAAAGCACCTCGCCGAATCGAAATGCGTACAAGGCAACGCTCCGAGCCTCCTCACGCATCAAGTAAGAACTGCGGACAATCGTCTGCCTCCGCTGGCCGTCACCACCTCCTGTACAAAAGCATGCTAGGGTGGCAAGCGAAAGTTAAGATTGGAATGCTGGCTACGTGCTACAACCGAGCCACCCCTTTACACTGCTTCTCCACAAGTGCCCGAGGTACCACGAATTATCGTCAGCTACAAATCACGGGGCCAAGCATGTTGCAGGAAAAACTCGACTGCAACGCGGTGCAGCTCGTTAACCTCTTCGCCAGCAGTGCCACACGTCCAACTCTACGCCATCCAATCCGAGGGAGCCAAGGTAGGCGAGAACTGGTCCACGATACGCTCTAGGCTTGGCCGCTTGGTGCTGTCCTCGCTCAAGCAGCTCTCGTAAAGCTTCACGAGGCGGTCGCCGCGCTGCCTCAGCATCTCCGGGACCTTAGGGGCGGACTTCCCTTCCAATATCAGGCGCTTAACCTCGGACTTCTCGAGCCCTGCCCATGGCTCCTGACCCTCGAAGACCTACAAGGTATCAAAAGTACGACAGCAGCACGGTCACGCAAAGAATTTCCGATCTACTTCCACACTCGAAGGAGCACGGCGATGAACCAGAAACTTGGCTCGGAGAGAGGGCTGGGGTGCGGAAAACATCGAACCTCGGAAAGAGAGGCCGCTAACAGCAGTCATGACCATACCCACCAATACAAGTGAGGAAACACTGGGCATACACAAGAACAAAATTCCGTGACTAGGAAACCAACCTGTCGCAGGCGTGGGCGACACGCTACAGCAGTGATGGTGATGTACAGGCACTAGAACCACAACTAAAGGCCCTGACCAGCCTCCGCCACGCAAATACAAGAACCAAGCAGCCCGGCACGTTTCGAGGAAACCAAGCAACAACCACATGGACCACAGTCCACCAATGAAACAACAGCAAAACACGCAAGAGAGCGACACAAACAACAAACCGCGCCCCCTCTCACCTCATACAAGAACAAGCCATACATCCACGCATCACTCTCCGCCGTCAGCGGAAACGGGTGCACCAGCGACTCCGGGGGCATCTGCCGAAGCGGCCAAACGTTGTCGTGGTCCTCCGGATCGATGAGAAACGACTGCGCGATGCCCTCCTCCCGCAAAAACCGGCTTATCCCGAAGTCGCACAGGAGGCCCCGCCCCCCGATCCCCGCTCTCGACAGCAAGGCATTTCGGCTGGCGATATCGTTGTGGAGGACACCAGCCGCGTGGGAGTTTGCCAGCCTGAGAGAGACGGCCAGTTGTTGGGTTGTGCGGTTGCGGAGCCGTGTGCCACAGCGATCACATCGAGAGTAAGCCTCAGAGGGAGGGGGCGTATATAGCAGTGACATAGAGGCGGGGAGAGTAGCAAGACACAAGAGACTCGGAGAGAAACGCAAAAGCAGCTCGACAGATAAAACCAGGGGAAATATTTCTTCGCGCGCTGGATACTTGGATGAGCCCGCAAGTACGATAGCGGGGCACACACCACTGCGCATTTACACCGTTGGCACACAAGTCAAAACACCCGAAAACAAACAAATGGAGTGCCGTGCTGCTTCCCCAATTCATTGTTACTTCAAGCGCCGTTTGTGCTTTGGTACGTACGATGGCGTCACGAAAGAAAGGTACTACTACAGCGGTGCCGCTGTGTACTGCTGAAGACCGCAAAATGTCCTGCTCAAGACTGCAAAATCCTCGTGTCTTGGTCTTAGCACACCAGTCAACAACACTCGAGCGTGATGGCAAAACATAAACAAATACACAAGAAAGGGCGCCAAACATGACTGCCCAACGACGAAAAAACGCCTCCCACGAGAACCATGGGCGGCTCCTGAAAGTGCTCTCGAAGACACCGTCCGGACGCTACCCGAAACAACGGCAACCCCTCGCTAGGTATGTAGTCAACCCACTCCTCCCACAACGTGGGACCCCAAAACACCCACCCGCGTGCGATATCCCCAGCCCACACTTCCCGCGTGCTCCCGTCGAACTCCACGCCGCCACCGTTCCACCCGTTCGCCCTCCCCGCCCTAACGCCCAGCACTCCTTCCATGCTGCCTCCCTCTTCCAGCTTCGTGACGATGTGTATCTCCTCGTCGCCGCAGGCGCCGTCCCGCCGGCTAAGGCCGAAGAACCGTACGATGTTTGGGTGGTGTCCAATGATGGAGAGGATGGTGGCCTCGTGCTCCAGGCCGGAGCGGGCCGGGGCCATCGAAGGGAAGAAGCAAGGGTGCGACGATAGGCTCTTCACCGCGACGTCGTTGCCTCGCCAACGATAGTGAGAGGTTTTTCCCTGTAGACGGGAGGGGGGGAAAGGGGAGTTGAGAGGCTCTTCCGTGTAAGGGGGGTGGGTGGGGAGGGTACTCGTGTTTTGCACCACCGCCTTCGCGGTTAGATCATTGACCGCGCGTCCTCGAGATTTTTGCCACCGGACCGGCCACCGATAGTCTGGGGGGCAATGACCAGCGATGGGGCTCTAGAAGGGACAAGCAGGCCGTCTTCCGGGTGCCTACGCAAAGGCTAAGGCCGGGGTGAGCCACTTGACGTGTCAACGTCACTCCTGAATACACTCCGGTGGTCCGCAGCCGTGACAGCCCACTCGAAGACGCGGGTGAACATAAAACGGCCGGAGCAAGAACTGATTGCCACAATTTTTCTGGTTTTCCAATCATTTCCAGGGGTGCAACAACCGTACTAGTTTTCGCCCCTCCTGCAGGGGCGTCTGGGTAAGGAAGGAGGTGGAATCACAAACATCGGCATGGTACCACAAGGCACCGACTACTACAAGTAGAGAGGCATCGCCGCCGTTTAAGCCCCGACCTCTTCCCCTGCAGCGAGCTCTCGACCCGCCGAGCACCACAGCCACTGCAACTCCTCAAGCGTCCAACTCACCTGGACCCCCTGCCCGAGCTCCTTCACGAACTCCAGCTCTCCGAAAGGGACCTCCGCCACGTTATCCGTGACCTCCTTCATGACGGTGTGGAGCTCCACGTTGCGCTCGCAGAGCAACGCCCGCGGGGTAGCCCCAAGCTCCGCCACCTCGATGCCGAAGGAGAGATGCGTCACCCTCCTGCCCTCGATGATTTTCGCCCCGCACTGCACTCGCCCGGGCGGGGTGCCCGGGATACACGCGGCCCTGAACGTGGCCCCTGTGGTCTCGCCGGTCCACGTGAAGTCGCTCACGGACAGCCGTTCGACGAATGCGGGACCGTTGCTGGAGTTCACGGGCTGGAGCATCTTGAAGGCGTGCTCTGGTAAGTTCTGTTTCGGAGAGGGGGCACACGGTGGGGACGGGGAGGAGGAACACGGGACTGAGCCCACCATGACACCATGGCTCAAAGCCCACGCCCAAGCATGCACGGTGCAAGAACGCCACAGCGTTCTTCCTGTGCGGGCCTGCACAGTGCACATCACAGGAACAAGCCGCCGGCGCTTGTAACGCCATTAGTCTAGCTCCATGATCCACATAACCTGCTCCTGTTGGACCGTGGAAACTAGGAAGGTTTCTCCCGAAACCATCCCAACCCAACACCCCTCGTCCTACATTCCGCGAACATAATCGTCCGACCTTGTTCAATTTCTCGTCCCCCCCCCCCCCCCCCCCCCC